ATTGATTATGTATAATACAATATATGACTTACTTACAAATACGTATAGCTTTAGTTTTGTCTATTTATAAAACTTTGAATATTTTTATAAATATTTTTTTATATATTAAAGCATAATTACAACCACAACTGAGCTCGTCCTTTCATTTGAAAATTAATACAAAATTCTAATAATATTTTTTTATACGACACATACGTGATAATAGGAATATTAATATCTACTTTAGGACTTACAACTGGTTTTTTCATCTGGTTTTTAAGAACACGAACATAAATTTTTCAATAAGAAAACTATTGTATTTTTTAAAAAGTCTTATGAAAATCTTCCTAATACTATAAAATTAAGTTTTCGGTTTAAGAAAACCGCTCATGTTCTTAATGTGATGAATTAAGAGCATGGGCTGAGCACCGTAGAATGATAAGAATTAAAAGAAACAAACCACTAACTAAGAGCACTAGCAATGTGAAACTGGGACTATGTAGAAAAATCAGCATAAGTTTTAGAAAAAAAGATAGGATATAAAAGGACGATATTTTCTGAGTAACCGGAATGGATCGGAGATAGATAAAGAATAAGACATGCTCACTGACTCTACTGACCTATTGGTACGTTAATGGTTTAATATTGTTAAATATTCAGCAATGACTAAGATAGTAATGTTAAGTAAGACAAGATTATATGTTTCCAAAATGGTAAGCGTATTATAGCAATTTAGGAGTGCAAATTTCATGTTGCTGGGCGTCAATGCAAGTTTACCTTGTCTTGAAAGGATGCCAACGTGCACATTATTATGAATTTGTATTAAGGCGATGTATCACCTATTCCACGTATTCACCTATAACGTATTTTAAAACTTTAAAAGTCCAAAGTGTGTGCCCGTGCAGTAGAAAATTTTTAGGGCAATTCTCTTCTTCATATTTTTCACTCTCATAAAAGCAATAATATAATGACTGTAAAATTTAAGTAAAGTTCTTTTTTTTACAATTTCAAAAACGTTTAAATATATACTAAACGTTTAGAGAACCACAACTAAAATGTTTTATTAATTGGTCCTTAAGTTCCAACTCCATATATTTTTTAAAAACTCTTTTTTTTTAAATATCTAATGGCAATCGAAAGTGTTACGCGTATTTCTTTTATCCTTACTCTGTAAACTCATTGAGGACGCCGAGCCAAAAAAGGGGAAGTAGAGTTCATTTATCATTACCTACAATAAGACAGCCACATTATTATCAAAACTTAGATTGATCATTTAATTATTGAGAGCTGTGGATGACTATTCCGATCTGTCATGAAAATATTCAACCCCAGGATTTTTCGTTTTGTAAAATTGTTTTTCTTAAAAATTTTTCCCTGAAGTTCATATTCGATTTCATACATTTAAGTAATCCATCATCACACAAATTGCTAACAAAGCACTAGTACTCTCATTATTGCTTGAATTACTCATTTTAAATCTATACTCTTTTTTATAGTTAATGTATTATTCTCACTACCGCTCAAGAAACTTTGAATTTTTGTAGTTTTAGTATTTTCAAGAGATTTCGCAAGAGTTTGTGGCTTTCTATTCACATCTTCACATCTCTAGCTCTTCGCAATATATTTAATGAGTTTTGTTTTAAGCATTATTAGATTGAATATTAATGTTTCTTAAGGAGAGAGGGAATTTATAAAGTTTTCTCCTCTCTCTTCTTCAATGTAAGTTGAAATAAAATAAAAGCACGGTTGCCACTTATGGTACTTTAGTACCAAAATTGGTACTTTTTTTTTCGTTTTTTCGTTTTTGGTACTCATGTTTAAAAAGTGGTACATTTTTGACGACCCAACTTTATTGTGGATATTTTTAAATAATTTTTTTTATAAATCAACTTTGCACTATTTTATATTTTGTTCATTTATAACACTATGAAAAACACAGAACGAAAAAATAAAAAGGTCCAAAAAAATTTTGGACCTTTTTTACAGAAATGGTACCTTTTTAAACCAATTTTGGTACAGGAAAAAATTTTCAAGTGGCAACCGTGAATAAAAGTTTAACTGAATATATCTCTTAAGTAGTTAAAAATACTCCTGATTGTCGTTTTGTATCGTAAAATTACTAACTATAATTTTCTGCAATACTGCATTATTCTACTGATTAATTTTTACATTATTTTATATATGTATATAAACGTATATATACGAGTACATGTAGGTATATAAATTTTTTGAACTTACTAAAAATAGTGTAAGCACTGTATTACAAGCTTAAATTAAATAGTGTACATATTGATTCAGTTTCTTATAATTGATTACATTTAGATTTAAGCCATACATTTAAATGCAATAATTAAACACCTAAATTTTGTTAATTTATAATGTATGATAATATAGAATTAATATTTAAAATTTTAATATGACTAGAGATCGTATATATAATATGCATATATATAAACTTTTACGTATATTCGAAAATCTTAAGTTTCTATAAGCATAAGACAACATTTTATAATTATAAATAAAAGAAATTAAATTTTGATTGATCGAAAACCAAATTTTAATATAATAAAGTGTTTAATAGTAACTAAAATAATAATAAATGACTATCAAATTATAATAATTTATTTTATATAAGGTCTTTAATATTAATATTTTAAGACTTGTAACTGATTTTATAAAATAAAATTATTGAAATAATTTAATTAAAAATAATAATACAAGTTTATGTAATTGTTATTATTTCGAATATTAATAATTACTATTTTATTTTTAATTCTCAATTAAAATAAGATAGAATTTTTAAGTTAATGCAATATTAATCCATATTAAAATTAATTTAAATATATCCCATGATCGGCTTTTTATTATATAAAATTCATTATTAAATTCATAGCCATATTCAATATAGTTTAAAAAATAATTGACTGGTAAATAGTTGAAAAAATGATCTCATATGGGAGAATAAAACAAATAACATATAATCCAAATTAACTTGTAAATAAGAAATATTTACAAGAAGATTTACAAACTGACGGTTAAACTCTCTGGCACAGAAATACATTTATCGAATAACTTATTACTGTCTATATAGAGAACTGGTAGTTTAATATAAGCTCATGTTTTTTTTGGTTTATCACTTTAATTATAAGTAAAAAGAAAACTACATGAAGTAAATATATTTTGTATATCTTAAATATTATTAAAATGATTGGCGTGTATATATACGACCTCTTTATAGTTAATAAACATAAATTATTTTCAATTTTGTACATTTTTTCTGCAAATATTCTTTAATTGGTTTTTTAAATCATTAAGCCACGCTTATTACCATTTTATGTTATAAACAAACTTACATGTATATAATTGTAAATTGTATATACGCATTAAGATTTTTATATAATATAATTGGTTTTAATATAAATAAATGCAATACAATAAATACTTTTCAATTACTTTTTGTGCATGAAAGCGAGACGTTTATTTTTAAAAGATGTTCATCATTAATTAAAGAGAATAAAAATATATAATAAGTGAAAAAATACTTTTAATAAATACATTGAAATTTACACACTACATACGTATATTATTTTTCATAAATGTTATAAAAAGTTTTATATTTTTTTTTTTATAAAAACTTTACTTAATAAAATAAATATAAATAAAAAATCAAGTAAAAATGTTTTATAAGACAGATTTGAAACTTTTTTTTTGCAATTTTTGGTAATGAATGAAAATATATATATTATTTGTATATTAATAATACAACATGTTTCATTCATTATAAAATAAAATTTTGTGATTGTTTGTATGTTTTTATTTTATATTTAATTATATTTATTTTCAAATTCTACAAGTAACAAATTTTTTATTATTTATTACGTTAAATTTTGCATTAAGTTGTAAAAATTATGATATATATACATTAATTTAATAAAATATATTAAATTCTTTTTACATACTACAGCTATTATTTTTAAATATATCAATTAAATTTAATAAATTTATTTATATAAATAAATTATAAAATTTAAAAACAAAGTTGTTGTACAAAAAATTAAAGTGATGAATTTAATCATTTGTGTACAGAATATATTAATAAAAAGCTTTATTTATTCTATTAATTTCAAAACTTAATAATGCATATTTATTTTTTTGCTTTATTATTTGTGTATTTGTATTACTATTTGAAATAAAAACTAAATAAGTGTTAACATTAAAAATGTGTGTGTTTATAAGATAAAGTTTTTCAAAATTTTCTTTAAATTTTTAATTTTAAAAATTTTTATAAATTTTCAGAAATATTTTTTGTTTGCTCAAATACTTTTAATATTTTAATATAGAATTTTTAGAGCACAATCACAAAACAACTAAATAATTATAGCTGCGAAATAATTTATTATGCTATAAGTGGTTTAATTTGTAAAGATTAAAAATTATGTGCATTTAAGAAATTAGTTTTATTAGACACTAAGAATAATTAAAAAATATATATATTTTAATATATAAAGGAATTTTTTATTGTTAATATAAATATATATGATTCAACAAATTATCATATATATTATTGCACATTAAGTTACATATTATAATACTAAACGATATGTTACATAATACTGTTAATATATAAATCAATAAAATATAATATAAATTTTAAGTAACAATTATGCAATAAGAATAATGCAGCTAATATAAAACAACACATATAAAATCAATTAAAGCAATAGTAGAAAACTTATAAGAAAGATATATTAGTTATCATAAAAATGAGCAAAAAAATATATAATAGTAACGTAAGAAAAAATTAAATTTATTATTATAAATTCATTTTAATATTTAAAATCAAAAAATTATCTTTTTTGTTAACTTTATAGATTTTACAAGTTAAATTTCACATATATCTTAATTATGCATGCAATAAGAGTACTATAACTTATTTTCAAAACAGTACATTTAATATATTCTAAAATATGAACAAATACTTTGAAATCATTTCACAACATTTATGGTTATTTAAAGAGAAACTATCTAGAATATAGTTATATAAAATTATTTTAAAAATATAAACATTATATACATAAAATATATGAGCGAAATATTAGCCTCTGAGATTATTTAAAACATTTATTTGATATTTTTATTATAATTAAGAATAATTATAGAATAAACATACATATAACATATCTTATATTTAATATAATTGTATATAATATTTCAAACGTTAGTGTATTTGATACGTTTAAAGGTGACTTCAACAAAAAAAATTGTTGCCGCTAACTTTTAAGAACTTAAAGTCTAATGCGGAATGAACTATTATTTTAAAGAAAAAATATAAAAAAAATAAAATATATTTTTTGAAACTATATCAGCTGCATACTTACTCAACAAAATCTTTTGATTTGTCAATACAAATCTCAAATTCCGGAAATGATAAAGAACCATCATCGTCTAAGTCTGCTTCAGCTAACATTGATTGTATGAATTCTTTCATCTCATTGTCATTCATTTTGTGTTCTGGGCCGATAAGCCGTTCCATAACTTGTTTCAGATCAGTTACACCCAACATGTCATCACCATCAAAATCTAGCAAAACAAAATTATTTAAATATCTTTAAAAACTTTATTTAACGACGAAGAAAAATAAAAGAAGTTCACACAAATTTATTAAAAATAATTTATTTAGTGAAAAATTTTCTAATAAATACTTCTGATGGATGGATGGATACTTGTCGAGTGGATACTCTAATGTGCATATTTTTTCTAAAATTCTAAAATTATACTTTTTGTGTAACTATAATTGTAACAAATCTGAATGTGCATGTTTGATGTTACAGAAGCGGAAGGGTTTACCCGTCAGAACTACTTCTCCCATTAAGGGCCTAAAATGTAGCGCATCTGTTCGGACTATCGCAGCATTTTAAGTGTCACGTTATGATTTGTTTTTAGAAATCGTCTTGTACTGCAAGCTAACAGGCGTTTTTGGAATTTCCTATGTATAAGTAATAGTTAGAGATAAGTATTCACAGATATTTCTGAACGTGTTTTAGCGATTTGCTTGTTATTTTTAAACTTTCTAGAGAATCTTCTTAGGAATGTTCATGGGCCAAGAACTATTCTGTGGGTTGGGAGGATGCAATTTCTTTTTACTTACTTAAAACGGTTTAAGGATTGTATGTAACTACAGGGCATTGTAGATGAAACTACTTACTATAATGAAACTTGTTGCGTTTGGAAGAAATTTGCCCACAGTGATAATTTGCCCACTGATAAAACGAAAAATGTACTTATGCGGGCATTTCATATCGGATGAAGAAATATAACCTAAAGAGATGTAATACCACAATTTAAAGGGGAAATTGGACTTAGCGAAATACTGTAAGTTCATGAAGGGGGAATAGATTTCTAGGTAGCAGTGCAAATTTTCCGAAAACATAATAATAAAGTTGCTAAAAAAGTCGTCAATAATGAAAGTTAAACGTGTGAAGTAATAAGTGGTAGTTGAATTTACTTGTGCAGAGTCGACATGGGAAACAATTCTGCAAGAGTGCTTCATTACATGAGAATGTAAGCGTTATATTTAATTTATTTTCTAACGGATTTATGCGAGCGTGTATAACCTCACGTCAGAATACTATATGTTTAACATTGTTGGAGAAATGTTTAACTGTAAATGAAATGTCGTTTGTGGTTGGAGTGACAATTTTAAATGTTTTTCTGAGCCGGTTCAAATTTAAATGAAAATAAAATAAAAATTTTGAAATTTCGTAAATAACTTTCATACAGAGTTATACATGTTATTTGTTGCTTACCCATTATACGAAAAGCATACTCAGCCTTCAGATTTTTGGGGCAAGCTTCACTGAAAATTGACATCATATCCAAGAAGTCCTCGAATGTCATGTCGCCATCATCACTCGAGCTGAACACTTTGCAAATACGATCCCCAAAAGGATTTACATTTAGTTCTGGGTATTGCAGTATTTTATTCATGGATAATTTGGCATTTTTATTATGGCTGACTTTCTCTGGTGCGAGACTTTTGAATTTTTTATGTGCCCTGCAAAATATATATGCTTAAATTTTGCTTCATACATTCCCGCTGCCAACGCCCTTTGGCCGCAAGCTATCGTAAAAAAACGTATACTTACAATAATATTTCCTTTTTGGTGAAAAATGTTAGGTCCTATAACAAAAAAATCCATTTATATTAAAAAAATGTTCGATTTATGTATGAAAATGGCTTACTTCGTAGTCCTGCAACTCCTCATCAGTAAATTGACTTTTTGTTTGCCCCATACTGTGCCCCAAAATAAACACACAATACTAACACTCCAAATGCACACGCCACCAGCACCCACCAAACCAAACACCAAACCGCAACCGAATTTTTTAATGTCGTACTATATTCTATATTTTTATAATTGATTAAGGATTTAATTCAAAAAAATTTATTTTCAATGTATTCCAAGATTTGTGCAACAAACTGTGCTGCTTGCGATACCCGAGGTAAATGCCAAACAATCAAACAGCTGTTCGTGCTTCAGTGCTTTTCAAACTGTTCGTGTAGTGATGCAGGACACTCTTGGTCTTATTTGCTGCGCAGGCTTCTTGCTCTAAATAATATAGCAAGCAAGTTGTGCATGTTTAAATTTATGTATATATCATTTATAGCCATAAATATAATATTAGTTTTAATTTAATATATAAAATACATGTAAATTAATTTAAATTCATTTCTTAATATAACTTATATTACCACATTTTTATTTGATAAAAAAACGAATTTCAACTTTTCATTCTGGGTGAAGTATGATTACTAAAATAAGGTTTTGTAGAGAGGTTGCGAAAAGTAGAGACCTACAACAACAAAAACTATTTTTATATTATTTTATTTAATTGAATTTTTGGATGACCATTAGTAGTCTTGGAATTATTTTTTGTGTTTAATTATTTGTAAATAATTTTTTGAGATAGCAAGTACCTGGAATTAAACTCGTGCCCTTCCAAATTTGAAGCTCAGAGTTAGCGTTCATTAGCCAACTGATTCAAAGCCGTACTTGAATTATATGTTCGAATTTTTTCTACTGTTTTCTTAATTTGCAGTGAAAGTTTATTAACAATTTCGTTTGCTGTGTTATATTAGAAGGAAATCAGAAACTACATTTAGTGTTGTAAATTTCATTTAAAATGAGATATTTGATTTCACTGTCGAGAATCATTAAAAGTGTACGAACTATATAAAATAATTTAAAAGAATTACAGTTCATATCTTAATTTCAAATTGTATATATGTTGAATTTTGATCAAATTCTTTTTGTATATCATTTACTATATATCTCCATAGTAACAATTTTTATAGTACCTTAACATTTGTAAAATTTAAAGGAATTATGTGTTCATATAGGCATTTCTTATGTAATACATACCATATATAAAAATAGTTTATAGTTTTTGCCAGTCCCGAAACTTTAAACTGAGTGGCATAATTTTTACACTTGAATTAAAAATATGGAATTTATATATAAGAACAAATGTAAAAAAATAAATTAGTGATGGAAAGCATATAGTTTTGGATAGTCATAGACTTTTTAAAAACTGCGTTTTGGGAATTACTGAAATTTTTACAGAAATCGACAAATCGACTTCGAATGCCCACATATTTAAGTTTTACCTAAAAAACTATAAAAAAATGCCAATTATAGAGTATTTGACAGGCCTTAAATAAATGTTTTTTTTGGTTAGGTTTTAGGATTTTTTATTGGTTAGTTTTTATATTATTTTGGTTACCAATGAAAATAACACCACTTTATATATATGATTATTTATAATTGCTCCCTAATTAAAAGCACTGTAAATAAACACTTACATTATTTACATTACATCCATTCTCATATGAAAATGGAAATCTGCTTTTGAAAAGACATTCTCATAATGAAAGTAAGAGCTCAAGCAATTTACTTTGCGGTTATCTCCACTTACCATAAATAACAATACCGACTTTTCTAACTTTGCATATTAGTCGAGCGTAATAGCTCTCCAACAATCACTCTTAAAAACAAATTTTATCTTATGTTCTTTACTCTTTTATAGTATGGACTGTGCAGTTTATATATTTTTATAGAACTAATGAAAGAGTTATGGTAAAGAGTTACGCTTATTGGAGATATTAAAAATTGTAGCTTTTTGTAGTCGAGGGTTATCCTACGATTCTTCACGATTACATCGCCGATAAAAACTGCGGTGCACTACTCATCTTTATCATTTTTACTTGATCGTTTGTGAAATAAACAATTTCGATATAAAGTTGAGTTGTTATCTGTGAAGAAGTTTTTTATTAAAGAAATATCTAACTAAGCATCTAACATTTTGGTGATGGAGTATGTGTACAGTACATATAAATAATAATAATTTTTTTATTTGGTGTTTTGTTGGATTTAATAGTTTTATGTTAAATGACATAAGTTTTCAATAATATAAATTATTCGGTATTGATATAATTTCAGTATAGAAGGAAACGTGACCTTACAGTAAATTTAATGAATGATAATTAATTAAACATAAAATTATTTTTTATTTTTAAAAATATTTTTTATAGTATGAAATAAACTATCACCAAAAATTTTTTGAATATTTAAATAAAAAATTTTGACGTTATAAATATAATATTATGTGCGTTATAACATGATAATAAATGATAATAAATAAAAATTAATAATCTCAATTAAAAAACTGAATAAAAAAAATAATATTAAAAAAAAAAATAATGGAAATAAATATCATAAGAATATTCTAGTGTCCATTACCCTCATACTAAATGTCATTATATCAGATGCTTCTCTGTATTTATCGTTCCACGTGTACCGCCTATTTAAGCTTAGTCACTGCACTAAACCATCTGCCGCCTTGCGGGTTCAAGGATATAGCTTGTAATATACTAGAACACATTGTCTAACGTTAGTATCTTTTAATACACAATCCTCACGCTGGACAAGGATAACAAAAATTATAGAGGGAAGGGCGCTTCAGAACAGTGTTGTTGCTTGCAATATGTGCTCATATAAATAAAATTAATAAAATTAAATATCAAGAGTAATAAAACAATCACTAAATAAAATAAAATACTGTATTTATATACATAAATTTAATAATATATAAATACATGACAATAATAGATTTGCAAAAATAACGTGGAACTACAGAGAATATATTGCAGTCGTAACTTAAATCTCAAAATTGATTTTAATATGATTTAAGTCGGCCATTAATGTTTACTAATTTTTACTACACTTATTTCTATATTTACTTTCTTAGTTGGCCATTACAGACGTGGGGCGTCCTTGGCCGCGTCGAGTAGCTCGATGAGGTGCTTTCTGACGCCAGTTGATAGTACCGAGCGCCCCCAAATCGTTGGACACCTGGTCCTTCCACTGAAAATGCGGACGTCCTCTACCGCGTTTTCCACTTGCGGGTACTGAATCAAAAACCTTTCTAGCCGGAGCACTTTCTTCCGTTCGCACCACATGACCAAGCCAGCGTAGCCGCTGAATTTTTATGCGCCTAACTATGTCAATGTCGCGGTATAACTCATACACTCTTTTCTATACTAAAGAATAATTCTCATCACTTATCAAATTTAGCGTCGAATTTCCATCTAGAGATTTATGGACGTCAGGTGGTCCCTCTGTAGGAGACAAAACAAAACAAAAATCCGTTAGTGGTGTTGACAATGGAGTTTTCTCAGAGGAATTGAATAAATCTTCCTACTTTAAACTTCCTGATTATTATAGTGTCTTTTAGGCGGAAGTGATCGCCATTAGAGAAGCTTTAGCTTCTTTGAATGCGGATGATATATTTGGCAGGAGTATATACATACTATCCGACAGTCAACCTGTTTTAGAGTCCTTGAGTTCAGTTGAGATACCTCGAAGAGATAACGGTCTCTTGGTAGGCTTACTTACAGGTCTCTGTAAACTAGGGAACCATGCTAGAATGCATGGTTCTGTGGGAAAGATGATGAAGGGAAAGAAGATGATGAAAGTACCCCTCATCTACTATGTTTTTACCCAGCTCATACAAGGCGACAACCCACCACATTAGGAGGTTTTAGGTGGAAACTGATAGTTGCAATTTTTTTGTAAATCAATACAGCAGATCAGCAAAGTTCAACTTTTCACTGATAATTTTCCTATATTACATATATTAGGGGTATTTACTCTTTCTTGTAAACTGATTGTAGGGTGCACGCGATGCACAGATTGCGTGAGCTTGAAATTGAGAACAACAAAATACACGCACAAAGTTTCTGGCAATTACTTGTAGTCTTGGTATACCTAAACCTATGTAAATATACTTGCAACGAAATTAATAAAAAAGAACAGCTGTTTTGATATATGTCGCTTCTCATGTGAATGTGGCCATTAATCGACCCTTTAAATTTTTAAACCGTACTTTTGTTGTCAATTTTTAAACCGTACTTTTTAAAATATGCCTCAATTACGTCGAATTGATATATGTTTGGTGGTAAATCCCTTTCCACACAACCATTTATTGTGATGAGTTTTGGTAGCAGTGAAAAATTATCTCATTCCATATCTCATTCCAAACCTAATATGAAAGGTTTGTTGCCTATATATAAATTTCTTGTCATGTATTCCTATAGATTGAAGATCTATTCTAAGAGTGAAAAATAATGTTTTGCACTATAATTGCCTAAAGGATAGACTTTTATCAGATTAAAAAACATTGTTTAGTACTGTATACGTGGTTAAAAGTTTTGACTATAAGTTTTATATTTTCTTTGCCAATTATCGCACTTTTAAAACTACGGATGGAACTATATTTGAGTCGGTTTAAATTTTTAGTTGATTTTCAATATACCTTTTAGTTAAATTAATGTATATAATTTTATATATATAGGTTCTACTAGCATACTTTTATATATTATTGAAAATGTGTATTTTTGAATACTAATGATTTAATGGGCACATAAAAAAATTGTCGGTATTTCTGTAGGAGAAAACAGATTTATTTTGTTGATTTTAAGAAGAATTGCGGTTTCTTATAAAAATAATAAACAGTTCTATTCCCTGGTATGGTTAAAGAAAAATACTATAAAAATAACATTTCCACGAAAGACTCTGTTTATAGAATGTTTTACTGATAATAAACATTTGGCGCAAAAAGAAACCATTTTGGGTAAACAGAAATCGAATATCTGTTCTCCAGAACATGTTTGATAAAAACCTGTTACTAAGCCACCGTAAGCACGTGACAGTTCAAGACAGAAATAAAAATAAAAAAGACAAACAAAAACAAAAACAAAAACAAAAACGAAAAACACATTAACAGCCAATCATAGTGCGGTTTCGAGAGAACTGGATTTATAAGTATTGCCGCATAATTGATTTTAAGTCGGAAACACTGACCAATCAAAATGGAAACCTTTCTGTGATAATATTTTTTTTGATTTCTTAAATTTCGTTTATTTTATTTATATATTATATTAAAGTTTCATTATAATTAAATTTTTAGGAAACTTTAAATTAAACTGCAATATCTTATATATATAATTCTTCTGTACGTGTGTTGACAGTGAACTCCTCCTAAACGGCTGAACCGATTTTGATGAAATTTTTTGTGTGTGTTCAAGTGGATTCAAGGAAGGTTTAGATTCACAATTTGGCCCACTGGATAATGTCTTTTTAATCAATTTTTTATTTTTTGGTATCCATATATATTTATATTAAAAATTTAAAATTTATTCATGCTTACTTTGATTTGTTTAAAAACTTTAAAATCTCTAAAATGAATTGTAAAACTGACGTTGCATAGCTTAAGTGCATTTAAATTCCGCAGCATAATTATAGGTGAGCCAATTTTTAATCTTAAGTTATGTGGTGGTATTCCTGGTAAATCCAGCGAATTCAAAAATTCAACACACAAAAAAGAAGAATTATATATATAAAGATATAAATATCGTACAAAAAACAATGCCACGTCTTCGTGGACGAGGAGGAAATATTGGTCGACGGACTCGGAATTCACAATTACTCCAGAACCGTCGGTTAAATAGATCGGCAGAAAACAATGAAGATGTAAGAAACCAGGATACAATTACACGTGCTAATGAAAGTCAAGAGCAACGCAACGAACGCCAGGAAAATTAATTGCAAGGGGAAACAACGTTCGCCGGGTCAGCTAGTAAACTATAATTTACCTAATATTTTTTAATTTTATGTTGTTTATAAAATATTTATTCAAACCTAAAAATAATGCTATAGGATTTTTCCGCTTAATCCCAAAGATATATTTTATAAAAGCTGTTTAGTTTTTAAATTAATTTATGATTGGATCGTCCAAAAAATAATTGTTTATTGGACCATCCACTAAATAGTTTTACAGGAAAACGAACATAAAGTTATGATAAGGATTTCAAACACATTTTTAATTTAAAATTTCATTACAACATTATTCAAATATTCTCTATGGGATTCCTACAATACTGGATTTTTCGATGACTTGTCAACATTTTGCAGACAATAACTTGACCACAACTTAACGACTTTTTGTTTTCAAAACATAGTGGATTATGTTTGATAAATGTTTACATTAATATGATCTTTTGCGCAATCATATAAAAAAAAAACAAAAACAAAAACAAAACCATTGTTTTTATTAAAATGCTTAAGATCTTCATTCTTTATTAGCATCACCAAAACGAGTGAAATTACACGTTCCGAGATTATCTTGTGCAATGATGATATAGGACATGTTCAGTGTGATAATAATTCAAAATTTGTAGAGCGTGCTGTGTGTCAACTTGGAGAGAACCATGTTAAATGCAATTAGATATTTTACTTCACATGTTCACTCTCTTCCCCCTATTTTTGTAATTAGTTTTTCAAATCTTATCACTCTCAAGGACTGTTAAACGATCCATGTTGTAAAACGGTAAACCTAAAATTAAACACAAAATGTCTGGATAACAGTTTTGCCAAATCCGGACTAGAAAATGGATTATTATGTTACAAATTATCTATTTATTTTTGATTATCAGTAATCATATTATTTAAAATACGATAATTTTTTAAATATTGTTATATAAAGAATTAAAAATTAAGTAATCATGTGTATAATGTAAATATTTATTTTACTATTATGGTATGAACCATACCTCTTGCATACCATACCTGTTCTCTTCATTATTCTCTTCATGTATTGATGGATAGTTACTTAAATTCACCCAATAAATATTTTTTTTAACTAAAGATATTATTTCAATTTCGTATCGGTACACAGCATATTTTCTCATATGCCATTGTATTAATTTGATTGAATCGTTTGTTTTTTTAATTGAGCGCGGTATTATCAAAGTAGTTGCAGTGAACTGATATAGTATATATAATACATATTGAAGTGGTTATTATTTTTTTGCATCCCTACCGATCCTCATTAAGACCAATTACTTTAACAATAATTCCTTAGCAATGTACTATTATTGATTCTTTTGTGAAAGCATTCCATGCGGCAGACTAACTTTACTGACATTATGAAATTCAGTTACTTTAAGCACAACTTCGATTCTCTTCGTTAGTAAAGACATTACTATTCCACATCTCTGCTTGTTTTGTGTTCGAAATGGTGGGTCATAGTCTAATCACTATGGCTTTGCATTAGTAGATGTAACCTCTTAATGCTTCTAACATGACCTACAAACATAGTAAAAATATACCTTTGTGAAATTGATCAAGTTTGAAATTTAATGTACATAATATATATAATATATATTATATAATATGTTATTATACAGAAGTTATTTAACTTATATTTGATTTAAAAAATTAACCCGCCTTCCTTTATGCTTATCAAAAATCAAAAACGCACGCCATCAATAAAATAAAAGTTAATAGAAATTATGTAGAAATTAGAGAAATATTTTTTCTTATTAAATTAAGTGTTGTTTTACTTTTTCAATATAAACAAATATATCATTTGATATGAAAATAACTTAATTATTTAAATAGAAATAAACATTCTTATAAAAATCATACTACTAAAATAAAAATAATTCCAGCATTATATTGAGTTCAATAATAAAAATTAAATGAAATAATTTTATTATGCAAAAATTTTATAAAATTGTTATTAAATAAAGAGAAATTCACTTAAATTAAATTACGGTTTCTTATGTATTAAATTAAAATTATAAATCTAATAATTATTAATAAAGTTCTCATAGCATATTTTAACCCAAGAGAGGCGACGATAAAGATGGAACCTGAAGTCAACAATAGTATGGAACCTTTTTTCGACGTTCCAAAACAATTCTTATTGGAAGAAATGAAAAACATAGAAAATTCTAGTGTTGAATCTAATGAATGCTTGGAGATTTTAAATGAAATAATTCACGAAGATATGGGCATAAATCCATTTGACACGGACTCTAATAGATATATAAAAATAAAATTTGCCAGAATTGATTATGTCAATCTAAAAATAGAATTTCATTGTATTTGGGTTAGAATGCCAGTGTTTATAAAAAATACTACATTAACAACAGAACTCCCATTTCTTGAAAATGCAAAATTCATAGAACTATCATTGTGGGCAAAAGTAGGGACTGACACTTTCATACCTCTAACATCCATCACACAAATCGAATTTAATCAAAAACAACAGTTTAATCTCGTTTTTCTTAATACCACACAAGATGGTGAGACAAGTGGCGTGTTAAAAGAAGCCCATTCAGCACTTGAAACTTCTATAACACACGTAGTTACAAATAAGCTCAAATATGCAGAAATAGTAACCACTGACATGGTTGTGACACGTATGGAAAACGAAAGTCAAGTTAAGTGTTGTATTCAGTTTAAGAGGTCTACTGATTTACCGAAACTAGATACCGAAACTATAGAACTAGAAAAAGAAAAAGAATCAGAACGGAACAAACGCTTAGTAGTTCCATTCACAATGCAGTTACGTCCTCGTAAGAACACATATCTGATACCAACATGTCGTTACTGTGCTTCTGCTTCCAGTGCGTATAGAGAAAGAATTGATGGTAAGTGTAGACTCCATTGCAGCGCGTAAATAGCAAAAGTTGAATGAAAATATTTGCTTAGCAAGCACAAAAGTATTTAGGCTATAGTTTTTAGAAATACTAAAAACTTCTAAAAAATCTTTAGAAGCATGCTCTTCTTGCTTTCTACGACTGCACAACCAAAAAATAATGACAATTGACTTGTATTCTTTTCTGAATTCATCTAACACCGTTTCAGAGTTATATCGTAAAGAAGAAATGATCATCACATTAAATGAGTCTTTACATTTCGATAAAATGGGCGTAGGTGAAGAGTACTATAATCCAAAAAACATTATACCGACGGTATGCTTGTAATCATTGTTGTTGACATATGCATTACTTTATGAATTTAATTTTTTTTTCTCTCCAAAAGGTAATCTTACGCAAGGGCAGAAAATTCAATCCAAACTGCACTCTCTGCATATATAAGTCTATACTCAAAGTTCCTATTAAAAGAATCTACAAAAGAAGTACAAAAAAAAATTTGAATAAAAGAGTAAAGTTATCAAGTTCACCTACATTGACCATAAAGTCAATTCAAGAAAAGAGTGAACCGCTTTTGGTAAATAGCTCTAATTCAGAAGTCCCTTCAATTGACTCTAATTTGGAAGATAATTCTGTAATCAAGCGCGTAAAAAGAGGCCGACCGAGAACACGTGGTAAGAAGCAATTGAAGAATGGAAAACGATTGTTACAAGCACATAATATAACTGATAATGTTACTCGAGCAGCAAAACGAGCTGCACCATCACGTTCTTTATTAAAAAGGACAGTGGCCAGTATAACACAAAATATAGAAAAAACTGTTCAAAATTCTGGACCAGTGGTCATACCAAATATTGCATCTAATATATCAACCATAGAGTGTTCTTACAATGGTAAAATACAAAATATAGAGCAAAATTTTGAAACTTTGCAAATAGAAAACACTACAGAAGATAAAATGGAAAATGATATCTCAATCAGTGAAAATTTTTCCGATTCATCTCCCATTTGCGTTAAAGATTTGCAAAAAAAGTTGACTGAAATAACTATCAAGACTATATTTGCTCCAGTAAAAAAATCCATACCGTACCAAGCATTACGTTCAGAGGAAAAAAAATTAAAAGAAGCAGAAAAACGAGTGAAAACAAATAAAGAAGAACAGTCAAAATACTCACCATGGAATGTTTCGACTATATCTGATGATCAGAACACTTACGAAATGTACTCAAAAAAGAATATTGCAGAACATATTTCAATAGATTCCACAAATACCGACACAAACTCGAAAATAAACTCAATGCAAAATGGGTCTATTTTCTCCACTCAACCGATATCTGCAGTAGCTACAACACAAAACGTCGTACCAAAATTCTTAGAGAACTTAACAGTCATAAATTCTACACCGTCAGTAAAGGCACAGCAGGTTGTTAAAAACAATGCTTCCATCTCAAAAAGACCATGTACTTATACACCAAAAGTTTCAAATAAAAAAAACAAATCATATAGTAATAAACACGAAATCGCTTCCATACTAGCTTCAAAGAATCCACAACGAATTACTGCAACAGAATCTTCTACACAGTCAAAGAAAGGACCAATTTTTATATCTGTCACTCCAGTATCAGGTCAACAATGTAAGTTACCGGCAAAAAACTGTATGCAGACGAAACCACTTGTGTCAATTTCGCCAATAAATTCGACTATAAGTATTGAACATAATGATTCTCAACTAGGAAAAAAGAATAAATTAAAATCTACTACAACAGTAACTCGAGTAAAAGCAGTACCACGTCTTTCAAAATCTTCTACCTTGAGCTACAGTAAAAGGACAAAACATTAAGCCAACGCAAGTTTCTATAAAATCACGACCAACATCACGATCAATAATTTTACATACTAACACATTCAAATCACAGACAAAAGAAGGAGTTATTACTACCATTACTGCGCCAGTTAAACAACAACACTGACAACTACTACTCGTCCATACGAGTACAATCAGTGAGCATAATACCAAAAAAATGTTCAAATGTAGACGTGACTATTAGGATTTTAAAAAATCAATCAGTAAGTAAAACGTTCAAGACATCAACTCCCTTAAACAGAAATGGTGATAATTAGGAGCAATTGCATCGCATGTATAAAAAATAGCAATCAAAACTTGGTACAACATCACCGAAGACTGCCCTACAAATTTCAAAACAAACCAGATAAATGATACTTCGAGTCCCATAGCAAATGTCAAATAATTTTAGACAAGGTCTAGCCACTGTCTCTACATTATCACCGCAACAATTGAATTCCGTGACAATTAACAACCAATCCCGAGTCTCTCTAATTAATTCAACACGTTCCAATCACATGGAAGAAACTAAAATAGAATGAACAAAAGGAATCTCCATAACATGAAGTAAATACTCTGAGCACCTTACACCCCATCGATATAACAACCGATGTGACTTCTTCAACATTTAGTCCGGATTGCAGTTTGTATTCCTAAACACAATTATTTACTTATGTTATAGTTCAAATAGATAAGTTAAATAGTTAAGTTAAAGATTTCAAGATCTGATTTGTTGAATGAGTTACTGAAATATCACAGCCCTTAGAGTGAATTTCGAGAGACTCATATGAGTTAATTGCAGAACATCAACTTATGAAAGATTATTTCTTAGTGTATTTGCTACGTGAACACCAGTGATTGTTGTAATGTGTGTTGGTCCATCATTCGCTAATAGATCATAGTTGGTGAGTGGCTCCTGGAAACCTGACCTATTCTTTATATCAAAAACTTGTTAAATAGTAAACTATTCACTAGCTATTGAAGCGCATTGGTTGTTGTATGGATAACAAATTTTATAGAAGTATAGATTAAACTTATGTGAAGGAAACTCGACAAATGCGGCACGATAAATACGTGTCGACGACTGCCCCTATTAACAATAAACTTGATAGTTGTTTTCTCTTATATTATAATAGTTATTTTTTACTTCCCAATTATTTATTTTGCATTTAATTAAGTTATTTATCTCTATTAATTAAATAAATTACGTTGTTTCTCCTAATAGATTTAAAGGACGATACATTAAAAGGAGAGCTTCTAAAGAAACGAACATTTTTAAATACTACATACCTAGCTACATACTACTAAATATCTATATAGTAGTTGATTGAATTAGATTATCCGCTCTACTAAGTGATTAAATCCTATATCATATATTTTTTCAAAATAATGTATTTAGTTTTTAAAACCAATCACATTTTACTACAAAAAATATGTGGAGTTCAGTTATAAATTTATTAAAAATTTTGTTATCGAATTATCTTTTATTATCGAGATCTTATTTAGTTATTAAAGCTATTTTAACTTGATTAGTATATAAAAAGTATGTATACATAATGTGTATCGTATTTTAATTTACATTATTTAACAATTGAAAGATATATACGATATTGTACATTTATTTTAGTCGGTAATATCTTAAGTTCTGAATGTATCTACATATGTAATTAAAAAAATACATATTAAACATATATTTTAAATGGACACTCAACAATAAGTACATTGAAGAAGAAACGAATAATAATTGGAACTCAAAATTCTGGAGGATAACATACGGAGACGAATCAATAGACAGTATTTAGACAACAAACAAAGTCCAAAAATTGATCTATATGCTGTTTAACAATCTACACTAATGGAGAATAAGTGTTGTTAAATTTAAGAAAGTCCTAAAGCTATTGTTTAGTATTAAGTATTAAACTAAGATAGAATATAATATATATGTATATATAATAATTCTATTCTAAAATACTTTTAATTAATTGTTATTATTGACGTACTTCTAAATTCCTGTTTGAACCGATATTGATCAAATACAGAAGTGTGATTAGATTATAATGCTAATTCTATTCTATATACGACATTAATTTGTATTGCATTCTGAAAATGTTGAAAATCAATAAAAAAATTAAATGAAAAATCAAACTTTTTGTTTTTTAAGTCAAAACAATGGAATAACGATAGTTCTTATATTTTATTTATGATTTACTCGTATTTTCAAAGCAATTCACGCAGTTTCTTATTTCGGTATGAATCGAAATATATCCGCATACTATTCTTAATTATATACTTCGTTGAGGGTTAATATATATACACATACTTATATTTATAGAAATATATATCAACTGTGGTCAAAGGCATGCAACTCAAGGACCCATATAAAAGTGTGAAAATGTTTCTATCACTCACAACATAAGCAATCACGTATATGAATATGGAATGAGAGTTTTTGACCACAAACTTTATCATTCAGTCTGTTTTTTTTAAGGTGGTATCATTAGAGTGCAGAAACGAAATATTACGCTCTAACGAAAGTGATACGCAATTATAAACCTAATTATGCGTACAAAACAAAACGTACGAAAGTAATCGATTAATATCGTATGTAAATACGATATTTGATTGTCAGCAAAACATAAAATCACTTTTATGTGCGTGCGTATACTTGCGATTGAATATATTAAAAGGAGTTGAGATCTTAGAGTTTTGTAATATTATTAATTTCTTATTGACATTTCTTATCATCATAAAAAAAGCAACAAAGACAAGAATTGACACATGATCGTTAATTTAGTTCAGTATTTAGATTTAACTGGATAGCACAGTTACAATATTTATAGTTGAGACTAATGATATAATTTTAAATACAAATGATTCTATTACTAATAAACACGTGAAACCGTTTTGCGAAAAAAAAAATAAATAAACAGAAAATTTGAAATTGTTACATATTTATACTAGCCATATAAAAAATTCGAATTCAGCAATTAACAGTGATATGAGAATAGTAACTAATAAATTATTAACTAAGTAACAACTTACACAGATCAAATTATTTTACGTTATTTATTCCAATTGCTGGACTACATTCGAATGTTAAGATACGATATCTTAATTTTAGAATAATATCGTATTATAGAATACTACCAACCTACCTATCATTAACTATTCATAATTTGTCATTATATAGAGTCACCTAAAAACAATTTTCAATAGAGAATCAGAAACTGACATATCAAATATTTTATAAAGTCTTATGTTATTATTTTACAGTTCAATAAATATTTATGAATAAAACTTGATTTATATAACTTCATTCTATTATTTTAATTGTGGACTTAACCGGACAAAAATCTTATGCAATTTTAATTTTAATAAAATATTATAATTTTGAATTCCGATGAACCCAGTTACTACCGAATGCATTAAATGGCATCGTAAAAACATACATCACAATTTAAGTCGCAACTGTGATATATTATTTTATTCATAAAAAAAATGTTATTCGAACAATTAGCTGTGATTTTAGAACAATATTTAATAAATTATTAACTCAAATGCATTTGGAAGTGATTGACATATCATTGATTGTATGCTCCGGTTGTTGGACTGTATTATTGTGCTTAATTACGATATTTTAATTTGAGGAGAATATCGTAATTTAGCACTCTATAAAGTCCACTAACTATTCCGCACATAGAAAGGAATTGAACGAAACTATATATATGATATGAAACAACCAATTTTGATATATAATACATTTTCTATTGTTATGTTAATGTCCTAGAAAATAATTAGTTATGAAAGGAACAAAGTGACTAATATTTTCTCGTTTGTTTATTCCAATAGCTGGCCTTTATTTGACATTTAATTTGCTATATATTAATTATAGAAATATGTATATCGTGATTTTATTTCGTATAATATATTATTTTATTCATATGAAAATGTTATTCGAACAATTAGCAGTGATTTAAGAACAATATTTAATAAATTATTAACTAAAATGCATTTGAAAGTGATTGATATATCATCGATTGTATGCTCCAGTTGTTGGACTGTATAGATGTGCTTAATTACGATATTTTAATTTTAGGAGAATATCGTAATTTAGCACTCTATAAAGTCCACTAACTATTCAGCACGTAGAAAGGAATTGAACGAAACTATATATATGATATGAAACAACCAATTTTGATATATAATATATTTTCAATTGCTATATTAATGTTCTAGAAAATAATTAGTTATGAAAGGAACAAAGTGACTAATATTTTCTCATTTGTTTATTCCAGTAGCTGGTCTTTATTGGACATTTAACTTGATATATTTTAATTATAGAAATATGTATATCGTAATTTTATTTTGTATAATATGTTATTTTATTCATAAGAAAATGTTATTCGAACAATTAGCTGTGATTTTAGAACAATATTTAATAAATTATTAACTAAAATGCATTTGGAAGTGATTGACATATCATCGATTGTATGCTCCAGTTGTTGGACTGTATAGATGTGCTTAATTACGATATTTTAATTTGAGAAGAATATCGTAATTTTGCACTCTATAAAGTCCACTAACTATTCAGCAAGTAGAAAGGAATTGAACGAAACTATATATATGAAAACAAGTAACCAATTTTGATATATAATACATTTTCTATTGTTATGTCAACGTCCTAGAAAATAATTAGTTATGAAAGAAACAAAGTGACTAATATTATCTCGTTTGTTTATTCCAATAGCTGGTCTTTATTGGACATTTAACTCGCTATATTTTAATTATAGAAATATGTATATCGTAATTTTATTTCGTATAATATATTATTTTATTCATAAGAAAATGTTATTCGAACAATTAGCTGTGATTTTAGAACAATATTTAATAAATTATTAACTAAAATGCATTTGGAAGTGATTGACATATCACCGATTGTATGCTCCGGTTGTTGGACTGCATTATTGTGCTTAATTACGATATTTTAATTTAGAAGAATATCGTAATTTAGCACTCTATAAAGTCCACTAACTATTCAGCACGTAGTAAGGAATTAAACGAAACTATATATATGAAAACAAGTAACCAATTTTGATATTTAATATATTTTTAATTGCTATATTAATGTTCTAGAAAATAATTAGTTATGAAAGGAACAAAGTGAGTAATATTTTCTCGTTTGTTAATTCCAGTAGCTGGTCTTTATTGGACATTTTGCTTGCTATATTTTAATTATGGAAATATTTATATCGTAATTTTATTTCGTATAATATATTATTTTATTCATGAGAAAATGTTATTCGAACAATTAGCAGTGATTTTAGAACAATATTTAATAAGTAATTAACTAAAATGCATTTGGAAATGATTGACATATCATCGATGGTATGCTCCAGCTGTTGGACTGTATAGATGTGCTTAGTTACGATATTTTAATTTAGAAGAATATCGTAATTTTGCACTCTATAAAGTCCACTAACTATTCAGCACGTAGAAAGGAATTGAACGAAACTATATATATGATATGAAACAACCAATTTTGATATATAATATATTTTCAATTGCTATATTAATGTTCTAGAAAATAATTAGTTATGAAAGGAACAAAGTGACTAATATTTTCTCATTTGTTTATTCCAGTAGCTGGTCTTTATTGGACATTTAACTTGATATATTTTAATTATAGAAATATGTATATCGTAATTTTATTTTGTATAATATGTTATTTTATTCATAAGAAAATGTTATTCGAACAATTAGCTGTGATTTTAGAACAATATTTAATAAATTATTAACTAAAATGCATTTGGAAGTGATTGACATATCATCGATTGTATGCTCCAGTTGTTGGACTGTATAGATGTGCTTAATTACGATATTTTAATTTGAGAAGAATATCGTAATTTTGCACTCTATAAAGTCCACTAACTATTCAGCAAGTAGAAAGGAATTGAACGAAACTATATATATGATATGAAACAACCAATTTTGATATATAATATATTTTCAATTATTATATTAATGTTCTAGAAAATAATTAGTTATGAAAGGAACAAAGTGACTAATATTTTCTCATTTGTTTATTCCAGTAGCTGGTC